AAACTGAAAATATAGATCGACAACGAATGCCATAAATACTGCAACATCCAAAGGAAAATATTTTTGTTCAGATGTAAGACGACGATTTATGGTTGGAAAAGGAAGAGTTGAACGAAGACCCATTGGACTGCTTGTGATGACTGGGAAAGCCAATCTCAATAATTTATCATCGTAGACTTTAAACCTTAGTGTTGTAACTCTATCTGACTCGATTAAGCAGTGTATTTGCAAATTCACTTAATGAGCATTGAATGAGTTACTCAGTTCCGAATGACGATCAACACTCGTTATATAACTCGCTCGCCGCTGCGTCTTGAATACACGAAACTAGCAGAATATGGTTCGCGCATATCTATGCAAGAATTGAAAAAAAAAACAAAGTCCTGTTATTGCTCTTTTCCCCGCACTTAATGCAACGTCAATATCAGCATGCACAACCTATGGAAGAATTTTAATGCTGAATATTTTCTTTTGTCATTTTTCGTACTCATTCGTCATTTTTGTTTTAGTCCCAGCTTATCGTGTATAGTTTTATAGCTGATGGGTATAGTAGTAATGGCTGTTGCATCACAGCTGTATATATGACTGACTGGTTGAGTATAGTAGTGAATAAGGCTAATTCTCACTGCAACTCGTTATGGTGTTATCGCAATAATATATATAAGTAACCTGCAGATTTTGCATATTTACTGTATTCCATAACTTCCCCATTGATTTGCTTTTCATGGTTATGTTGTATGTCGGGTATTTTTGTATTAGCTTCTTTATAAGTTGTTTAGTCTTGTGTGCTGGGAAAAATACACATCATCTTTTCATGCGCCATAGCCTCTTCTGCAGCCGTCTTAAATACCTCCAATTTTTCATCAATCTCTACCATTTGTCAGCAGCGTTTTACGGTTACGATTGGAAGTTTTTTTCTTCACAAAGATGTGACTGCTAGCTGCTAGCTTTCAGCTAATACAAGTTTCCGTTTGATTACACAGTGTTGTTGTTGGCTTCTACTGCGATATTTTTAGGGTTGCTTCAAAAATTCAATAGGGTAATTGCATATTTGTATCCGTTAAACTGTTGAAATTTACTCTTTATTCTGATCGTAGTATACTAGTATTTATTCGATTCCAAGCACAAGACATTAATGAACAAAACCATTGCGAAGTACCTCATTAAAAATTCTACCATATGTGCATTTATGCATCATTCGACGAATCTGAGGAAACAATTACATGTGCATTTGTATCGAAACGGGTGGTGAATTGATGTCTCCGAACATATTTGTTTGTATGTAAATTTGTTGAGGTCTTGGAAAAGTTATTTGTTATTTGATAGAATCTGGCCTACGAACAGCTTATGAAGTTTATGTGGTAGCATGTATGTAGTACCGGTGCATGAAACACCGTTTCGTGATGAACGCCAGGTGGTTGTAGCTAAGTAAATGATGCGATATGTATTTGACACAGCAGGTACTCAGGTAACATGCAACCATGGCATGCTTAAATGCCCTTTCGAGCAGGAAATCAGGAACAGGCAGACGGTGCAGTGCGCTATGAAATCAGGTCTTGGATTAGTTATTCGTAAGCATGTATATTGGTAACGTTTCTGGTTGTTTACGTACACTCTACAGTACCAGATGCATTTCGCATCATTTTGCCTGCTAGAGCCAGCTGCCCTTCATCAGGAAGGACGATTCCGAAGCTTGCTCTTTATACTCTAGCGTATAAACATCCAAGTATGTTCGTACGCGGAGTTTGGCACGTGGTGCATCAGTTGTCATAGTGAAAATGCTTGCATACAATACACTGAATGAATAGCTGGGGATCAGTCAGCTATTGTGGTTAGCGGCAGATAATTGATTTTTTACCACTAATATTTTCATGACAAATTGCACAGAGCTATTCAAACAATAGTACGTGGAGGAACGTTCATTGGCCCAAAACTGTAGCAGATAACGCTGGAGTATAAAACTGTTTACGGTTATTCTATAAGTTATAAGTTAGCCAATTATAATGCAGTAAAATTTGGTCACTTGGAAACTGTATTCAAAATTTCTAAACAACGGTACAACGAGATTTCTTTTTAATTCAGTTTAATTTCTTGACAAATTTTATTCAAAATTAACGGGTAATTCGAAAGCCTTGATTCTCAGTTTGAAAAGACATCCATCTGGTCATGATGTCCACATCTTTAATTGTGAATAATTCGAAATGAAATCTGATTTCATTAAAAAATATACTCACAGAATGGCACGTTTATTTTACGCGTCTATCTGCTACTACCATCCATTGTTCAATAAATAAAACATGATTTTCACAGGTACATTTTGCGGCAGTAAAATTCAGTAACAGTGACAACGATTTCTTTGACTTTGGGTTCAGTTCCCTTCTCGACACTACTGATCTGGCGCATCAAATGATGCGTTCCTAAGTAATATTCAGGCTCATCTCGTTGTATTAAGTGAATTCTTTAGTTTCAGTGCCTTTTTCTAGTCTAAATTATACTCTAAATTTATCAAAATAATCTTCATCTTCCATCGTCGCTTCTCCTTTCGGGTCGCGGAGGCAGACGCGTCAGACAGTGCTTCCAACGTTCCCGATCCTGTGCCAGAGTCTGAACGTCGGCAAAAGACAAATGCAGTCTCGAACAGATTGATTCCATATGTTTGCACCAGGTTAATCTTGGCCGTCCCCTGGGCCTTCTGCCGGTCGGATTATCTAAATAATCGAAGTCTTATTTAAAAATTTATTGAATGGGTTTGTTCAGTCATTTAAGCGTAGAACTCATCCGAGAGGTTCCGTGTTCGAATTCCGGTCGGGTTACTCGCTTTTCTACCTCAGGGGTTGATAAATAAGTACCACTGTGGGGAAAAAGCAGGAGACCACATATTGTACTTCTCGCAGAGCTGCTTTAGACTGTTTCTTTAAAATAAGGCGCGCGGGCTGATGGCAGAGAAGGTAAGAAAGGGGAAAGAAGGGTGCCCCTTCATGAAATAAAGGGCATCAGTAATGACCCCATTGTGTAAGTGTCAGGAATGTCGACATTCCAATGGTCTAAAGCTTTCCTTTACTTTCCTTTTCTAAGTTTATTCTAAATACATTCATGTAATATAGTTGTAATTTACCCTATGCCTCTTATGGTCAGTGCACGTGAATCTTTCACCTTTGCCGAAGATATCTTTTGGGCAATGTGCATTTCAAATTTTGACCGAACCTTGGCATAAAACTCTTAGCTGGTTGTTTTCCACAGTTTTGAAAAATTTATATTTTTTTCTCAAAATTTAATTGATCACGTTTTACCGTCGTCAGGCAAACAGTCAAACATGTTAACGACGCATAAAAGAGAAGCCACCACAAGCGTGCAAAGTCTCAGTCATGAATACCAGGGTTCAGAGTCCAAGCCATGAAAGCCAAGTGAGATTAAGTAATATGGCAAGCATGTAAATTTTATTAAACAGAATCCTGACTTTTCAAATTGAGCTAGATCCATCTTTAGGGAGCATCATCAGAATATCGTCATACATTAAAACAACGGCAAAAGGCAGCCAGCAATGTCCTTGCCCAATGGGACACTGATGACACTGTCTTTACAGTTGTTACATGATGTCCCCTGAAGATGGATGCAGCTCAATCTAAAATGTCGAAACTTTAATAAATTTTACACGTGTAAACCCCTTGAAGATTGTGGCGATAAAAAACTTTTTACCTCACCTAGAATTTAAGCTATCATTTTGAGTGTTATTTGTAATGGGCCGTTTTTGAAGTTGCATCAGCGACTTCGCCGTTAAACTAAAACTGCTGTATTTAGCGATGGATATGAAGCCCAGAAATATATTCACGAAATATTAATGCCCATACATTTTCAAAACCCAGAATTTCTAACGAACTGCGGACAGAGGAATTCCAGAAAATTTTCCCAGTGTTTCCTTTCATCTGCTAATGATATGAGCTGAGTTAGAAGCTGGAATATTGTTCTTGGGTAGAATGTTCGTAATACTCAAACAGTCTGATCTTCTTTCAATCGCTTTGCCACATGCTATTTCACTTTGCGAAAAGCGTCCGCCTTGGCTGTCTATCCTCTGGCATCTTGACCACACACGACCCTAACTAACCCCTTCGTTTTAAAAAATTTCCTGTTTTGAAACTGGGTGAACGTCGTCACGACAGAAATCATTCAATTTTAAACGAAATCGTAATAATCAACTCATTGGCTATTCGTTGCATTTAACTGATCTCAAGACACCTCAACTACTGTTTCTGAACCTTGACAAGAACCATGCACGGCATAAGAAATAATTTACAAATGAGGACCTGACTCGTGGCACAAGCACTGCCCTTTATATTGCGATTGCCTTTGAGTGCTTCTTTCGTTACGTTTGCATTCATTTCTCTTTCAGGTTAGATCGAGTGAAAATGGGTTCCTTGTTTCGAAGTGAGGAAATGTGCAGATGTCAGCTGTTCTTGCAGACTGAAGCTGCTTATGCCTGCGTTGCGGAACTTGGCGAACTTGGACTTGTTCAATTTCGTGACGTAAGATTTTCTTTGACGTCTAATTCCAAAGACGTGCAGATTTGCTGGATCATGCAAACTTTTTCAGCTGAATCCGAACGTTAACGTTTTCCAGCGTAAATTTGTGAATGAGGTTCGACGTTGCGATGAAATGGAGCGGATGCTGCGTAAGTGTTTAGAAACACTTTTGATTTAAAAAATCACAAAAAAATTTTTCACACCAACGATTATCGTTCTAAAAGAAGGATTTGTGTTTGTGGGATCATCACTTTGAGCCGTTTGTATCACCACAATTTATTCACAGCTTTTCTACCGAAAGGTACCAGAGACTTCATCCTAGTATGGAC